CGGTAATTGTCCGGCCGGTACGGTAACGCAACGGTCGGTACGGTAAAGCAACGACCGGTACGGTAAAGCAACGACCGGTACGGTAAAGCAACGACCGGTACGGTAAACCGAGTCAAACTCACAGGAAACCGGCTGGGTGGTAATGATCAGTTCCCTAGGCTAAGATACATTATAGCTCACGCGAATCAGTTTTCTCTGCAAGTTGTGAAATAAAGTAAACCAGAGTCACGTAGCGTCGATGATTTTCAGCCCTGAAGGACTTCCGTGTGAATCCTGAGTTTTGAATTGTTCATCGACTGGCCACCAAATAGTTTAATGGCTATAACTAAATTTGACACGTTTTTTTTTAAGCCCAATAAATTATTCATACATGTCAAGCTCTGTTCGATTTTTTTAGGGCATGTGGCCGTTTTTAGTCGAAAATATTTTTTGTGGGAACACTTTTGCGGTACGTATACGGTATAGACCGAGCTCATTCAATGATCGTGACTTAATTTTAAAAATTGAAATTTTACCAGACGTGGACCGATGTGGATTCGGTATCGTTATTTTTGGAATTAATCACTAACATTTCCTCGTTTCTCTGCTCTGTCAAAAGGAGTTACCTAGGCTTTTTTCACGTAACTGTCTCATTAAAAAAAAAAAAAAAATATTACATCTAGAACAAGCACCCAAAACACGTAACAAGAGGTCCCAGTTCAGTTGCTTTCACGATACAAGTGTAATACAACTATTAGATTTGAAGTGTCGTTCAGAATGTAATAATAGTTAATACTAGTTGTATGTTCACACTTTACTATCAAAACCACCATTTCGACCACCCATGTGCCAGTTTTCAGTGTTTGGGCGAGCGGTCAATGTTTTCAATGAGCGAGCGAGCGAAACAAAAACGCGATTAAAATGCGGTCGATGTAAAAGCGGAAGGTTGGGCGAAATGAGTACTGTATGACCATGTTTCTCCGACGAAGTCTCGACTGACAATAATGCTGACAATGGACGTTAGATAAACACGCATTGTTTGCAACTGGAAGCTTATCACCCGTTATATCAGAATCGTCAACAACAGAGTATACAGATAAGATGTTATCATTTAAACCCTTTCAAAGATAAACACTATGCAAATATCCACGAAACGGCAGTTGTAGTCTTTTCTGCTAGTGTTTTAAAACACTAATTTGAGCAACGTTATTTCGCAATTTCGATCTTTGTAAACTTGGCGTGATGTATCAAGGTCTAAAGTAACCGTTTTATCAATTTTTGAAAAATCAAGAAAAAAGTGAAAATTTCCCTTCTCGCTACCTTAAGTCTAATACACATTTATTTAAATAGCTGTTTTCAATGGCAGATAAAAATAACACTTTTTTTTTCATACTAAGTCATTCTGAGTACTTAAAAATAAAATCACCCAATACTTTATGGGTTGTTATGTCTGTCTCCATAGAAATCACAACTTACATCTAACAGCAGAACAACTGGATCAGTCAGCAACTCACAGGCAATGTTTGCTCGCTTTTTCTCCCCACCGGATAGTCCTTTATTTTCTGCATTTCCAATCACTAGAGGATGAAAAAAAAAATTATCTGTGTTTTTTTTCTATATTTCATTCCACTGAATCAAATTAGCTTCTGGCCATGCTGCGTGGCGCGTATCGCGTGGACGGGTTTCATGTTCTCTGCACGTAATAAGCTCGGTTATTAAGCATTCTTTTTTTGGGGATGCCCGGTGGCCGAGGGGAAGACGTGTAGTGGCGTAAAGCTAGGCGATTAGGTGCCGTACGCAAGCGCCGGTTCAAGTCACGCACGCAGTACGTATTTACTATAATTAGACGTAGTCTTTACCTTGCCGTTTATTCTGTGTTATTTGCTAGCTTTGAGATACCTCATGGGCAACCACAGGGTCAAACAGTCAAGAAAATTCATCACTATCCAATAGGTCTAGTGAACCTGGACAAATGCTATCCCACCTAAAATCTTACTGGTACTGCTACTTTTTCAAAGAGTTGTCTCTTTTGATAGAAAATACCTACATAGCAATGCTCTCAAACAGTAATGGGATAGCTATTATAAGTACCCTGCACAGAGATGTGTACCTGCACTCCTATGATAGTTGTAATTATCGTATTTTTCTTCAACTAGGTGCCACTTTGTTACACTTTCACTTCATGGTGGAGCTTATTTGTGGTTAAATTTTGGCAACTTTGTTACAAATGGTGCTTTTTTCAAGCACTTCAAGTTCTAGTAACCGTGTTTCAAGTCATTGTTCTTGCTCTATTCTGGTGATACATTATTGGTAATATTTTTATGTTACAGTCTGACACTTAGTATTTAATAAAATAATAAAAGTAAATAAATAAATGACCTGTTGTCAAACAGTCTAGAAAGTTATACAAAAAGTATCATCCTTTAAAAAACGTTCACAGTTTGCCTCAGTAGTAATTATAATAACGTACAAATAATAAAATGCAATTAAAATTCATCGTAAGCGAATGATTCTGGTCGCATGTAAACGCAACCTGAAACATGTTCTTTGACCAGATAGGTCAAGTCG